TAAGACCACGGTGAGAAATAGTTCTAAGTGGTCCTTCTGACACACACACACAGCACATCCTCGGGGAGAAGGACGGAGGAAGGTTTGGGAGGGGAGGAAGGTATGAGAGAGGGAGAGAGGTGGAGGAGAAAGATGTGGGAGGAGAAAGGTGGGGAGGGAGAAAAGGGAGGGGAGAAAGGTGTGAGGGAGGAGAGGTGGGAGGGAGGGAGGTGGGAGGGGAAAGATGGGAGGAGGGTTGCATGAGAGGGGAGAGAGGTGTGTGGGGAGGGGGAGAGAGGTGTGGGGAGGGGAGAAAGGTGTGGGGAGGGAAAGATGGAGGGGACGAAGGTGTGGGGAGGGGAGGAAGGTGGGAGGAGGGGGAGGGGAGAGAGGTGGGGAGGGGAGGAGGTGTGTGGGGGAGGGGGAGAAAGATGGGAGGGAAAGTGTGTGGGAGGAGAAAGGTGTGGGGAGGGGAGAAAGGTGTGGGGAGGGGAGAAAAGGTGGGGAGGGGGGGAGAGGTGTGGGGAGGGGGAGAGGTGTGGGGAGGGGAGAGGTGGGGAGGGGGAGAGAGGTGTGGGAGGGAGATGTGGGAGGGGGAGAGAGGTGTGGAGGGAGAGAGGTGTGGGGGGGTCATTGATAGGTTGTAACTAATATTAATCCACAATGACGTCAGAATTGTATCCACGCCGATGACGTCAGCCATAACTGGACACTTGGGTGTAATACATGTAATTAATAACAGCTACACAGGACAGCTATCCTCAAGGTGTACTGCCAACACCCACACTGACCAACACCCACACATACACTGACTTACACCCACACGTATACTGACCAACACCCACACCTACACTGACCAACACCCACACGTATACTGACCCACACCCACACTGACCAACACCCACACCAACACCCACACGTATACTGACCCACACTGACCAACACCCACACCCACACTGACCAACACCCACACTAGTACCTCCCTCTTGTTCATTCTCTTTGTCCGTATTTTCTTCTTCACTGTTAATTATGACCGTGTGTGTGTGAGATAATTATACATCTAGTGACACACGTGGCAGCCAGACTCGGGATAAACAAACACTGGCCAGGTGGTGGAGAGGGAGACCACCAGGTGTACAATGCTGGAGGTGATAGTGGGGATCCAATATTGCCTCACGAACACTAACTCAGTATCATAATGGAGTGGGGCAGGGGGGGGGGTGTCACAGTGCCCTTAACAGGTAGAGGTAGAAGGTCCACAGTGCCTCCTACAACAGGTCTAGTAGTGCCAGCAGAGAGTCAGATGAGGACCAACACTGGGAAGCACAAGCCGTGAGCCTGTGTGAGACTCCAGACAACGGCAGGGAGAGAGACGCGGCCTGGGACGACTAGAGTACCACCGGCGCCAGACAGGAGAGGGAGAGAGAGGGAGAGAGAGGGAGAGAGAGGGAGAGGGAGGGAGGGTTTCCCAACGTGGCGCCGAGTTTAGGACACATCTATTCAGGGTGTGTGTGTGTGTGTGTGTGTGTGTGTGTTTGTGTGTGAGTGTGTTTGTTTGTTATCTCGGCCTTCCCTGCCCTGCACGTCTTGGCGGGGGGCGGTCTGCTGCTGCCTACACCTTCACTAGTACTGCAACACTCTACCTATACCTCTTGCCTGGTGGTACTACTACTACTACTACTACTACTACTACTACTACTACTACTACTACTACTACCTACACACACACTAGCAAAATCACAATACTTACAGTATCAATTATACACAATGAGAGATAGACAGACAGACAACTCAGGTGTACACAAACATTAGGAGACTCACAACACGTACAGAACATGTGTGTACATTATGAGGTCAACAGAACACTATCACCAATATACCTGACCTTTATAATGAAACTACTGTACCCGTAGCTGAGCTAATTAGTGGGTCTGTATGCATAGCTGTACTCATGCCAACACCTGTAACTATCCCGACCTACTGTATACCTGTGCTACATAATTCTGTACTCATTCCTGTATTGGCAAGACTATTTCATAAATTACAATATTCAAGTAACTGTATTATTTAACACAGGCCATATAGTACAGACACACGGGGGGGGGGGGTGCACCCAGAGCTACTGGTATCACAACACTACACTATATTACACACTAACACACCTACGTTACACTAAAATATACAGCCCCCTCCCCTATCTTGATTACACCTTGAAACCCTTAACACAAAAACATCGCCAGTACGGGCAATCAACAGCGCTTGACTCCCTACAATGACAGTGATTGATACTACGCTCACAGGAACGGTCCATTCACCTGTCGCCTCTTGTGGCCCAGTTTATATCACGATGATAACAACAACAACAACATCAATAATAACAACAACAACAACAACATCAATAATAATAACAACAACAATAACAACAACAATAACAACAACAGCAGCAATAATAATAATAATAATAATAATAATAATAATAACAATAATAAAAAATAACAACACTAATAATAATTAATAATAATAATAATAATAATGAGGCTTACAGTATATTTACTACCACCAAATTGCTGCTTTAATTAAGGAGTGGAGAGAGGGAGTGACCGAGGTGGAGGGGCGTGGGAGGAGGGAGTGACCGAGGTGGAGGGGCGTGGGAGGAGGGAGTGACCGAGGTGGAGGGGCGTGGGAGGAGGGAGTGACCGAGGTGGAGGGGCGTGGGAGGAGGACTTACAATGGGGTTGGCTGGGGGAGGTGACTGTTAACTAGCTCAACTGGATCTAAAAGGAAGGGTTGGGGAAGGGAGATAATTAAATGGGGGGAGGAGGAAGGGAGTGAGAAATGGGGAGGGAGAGAGAGAGAGAGAGAGAACACCTCACCATACATGCCATCAGTCACCATCACAAATCACTTCATCGTCATGTCAGGTCCTCAAGCGCCTGACTGACGTGAGTGTATGTGACGGTCGAGGGTGACAACATGGCGCCTGACGTGAGTGTATGTGACGGTCGAGGGTGACAACATGGCGGATGGAGTGGTCAAGGACTGGAGACTGGTCTTAACACAGTACCCGGCCTGACAACCTCACTAGTGCGTCGAAGTGTTCCTACCTAGATAACCTGTAGAGACACACCTACCGATGTGAAACCAAGAAAATAACGTTTAATAAGCGTTACTGTTACCTGATGGTTTAATTACACCTTTCCACAGGGTTTAATAAGCGTTACTGTTACCTGATGGTTTAATTACACCTTTCCACAGGGTTAATAAGCGTTACTGTTACCTGATGGTTTAATTACACCTTTCCACAGGGTTAATAAGCGTTACTGTTACCTGATGGTTTAATTACACCTAATTACACCTTTCCACAGGGTTTAATAAGCGTTACTGTTACCTGATGGTTTAATTACACCTTTCCACAGAGTTAATAAGCGTTACTGTTACCTGATGGTTTAATTACACCTTTCCACAGGGTTTAATTAGCGTTACTGTTACATTTTTCTCACTTTTACACAAGTGTTACACCAAAAGCTATTACTCGTCTGAAGAAGCATAACGTAACCAGATAAACCAGCGTTACTCAGCGGTTTAATGTGACGTTTTTTAATGGGTTTAACGAGCGTTGTATCTCAGTCACAGTAACAGCCGTGACGGTGGCTGCCTCTTGTATTGCGTCTGATAGCTTTTTGTGTGACGGAGAGGGAGGGGAGAGACGGGGAGGAGAGAGGGGCGACGGGACATTCAACACACTTACCAATACTCACAAAAACTCACCCCCCTCCATCCCTCTCCCCCTCATTCTCCTCTCCTCCACATCTTCCCCCCCATCCATCCTTCAGTTTTCTTACTTATGTATCAACCCTCTCCTCCCCACCTTGTCATCCCTCCCTCCCTAACACACACACAGACGAGACAGTGTGTGTGTTAAGGCTCCACAAGTGAGGTGTTCCGGGAGTTTGACTGTCTGGTTGGTGTGCCCCGGGGCGGCCTCTAACCTCCAGGCGACGGATGGACACATGGCGGAGAGGATGGGGCGGGGCGGGGCGTTGGTAATAATGAGTAGGGCACGTGCTACTGCCCCCACCCCCCCCCTCCCCCCTGCCTGTCCCGGGAAGGAAGGAGGGAGGGAGGGGGATGAGTTACAGCTGCCCCTACATCACAGCTCAACACTCGGTCACTCACTCTTCCCTTCAAGCAGCTTCCATCATGATGCGTGTCAGTCACTCTCTCTCACTCCTGTTACCTTGTACCACTCACTATCACCTCACTCTCCACCACACTCACTATCACCTCACTCTCCACCATAACACCCACTATCACCCCACCTCCACACACTCACTATCACCCCACTCTCCACCACATAACACCCACTATCACCTCACCTCCACCACACACACCATCACCCACCTCCACCACACACTCACCATCACCCCACCTCCACCACACACCCACCCACCTCCACCACACACCACATCACCTCACCTCCACCACACACCACCATCATCTCACCTCCACCACACACTCACTATCACCACCTCCACACCACATAACACTCACTATCACCCCACCACACACTCACTCATCATTCACTTCCACCACACACACACTCACTATCTCACTCTCCACCACAATAACTCCCACTATCACCTCACTCTCCACCACACACTCACTATCACCTCACTCTCCACCACACACTCACTGTCACCTCACTCTCCACCACACACTCACTGTCACCTCACTCTCCACCACACACTCACTATCACCTCACTCTCCGCCACACAACACTCACAATCACCTCACTGGTGTAATAAGATACAGTCGTTCTAACCACAACTTAACAAATAAAAAAGAATGGCATAAGACAGACAGAGTGGGTGATACAGTAGCCAGTCTTGGTGAGTCAGTACTGTACTTGACAACTTTCACTGACCCAACAGTAAAGTCAGGTACTCACATCTGGCTCGAGAAGGAGGCCCGGGGCATGAACCAGCGACTGCTCTTCCCTCTAACACAAATAAACACATTACCTCCAGTCGTCAACAGGTGGACACAGGTAAAACCTCGCACTACACTTACCTGTAAATAAAAGAAAAATACATTAATGACATTAACAATGATAAACTGTTACAATACTGCCAATAATAATACTGTAGTCATAAAACACATGATAATACTAAGTCAGTGTGTTGATGAGGTCAAGATACGGGCAGCAGAATATGATGAACAATAACACCTGCACTGTAGTGTACTGTACTGTAGCGTACTGTAGTGTGCTGTAGTTTACTGTAGTGTACTATACTGTAGTGTACTGTACTGTAGTGTACTGTACTGCACTGCACTGTACTACACTGCATTACACTTTACTGTACCGCACTGCACTGTGCTACAATGCATTACACTTTACTGTACTGCACTGTACGGCATTACATTTTACTGTAATGCACTGTACTCCATTACACTTTACTCTACCGCACTGTACTGTATTGCACTGTACTGCTTTACACTTTACTATACTGTACTGAATTGAACTTTAATGCACTGTACTGCATTGCACTTTACTGTACTGCATTGAACTTTAATGTACTGTACTGCATTGCACTTTACTGAATTGTACTGCATTATACTTTACTGTACTGTAATGTATTGTATTGCACTGTACTGCATTACACTGTACTGTATTACACTGTACTGTACTGCATTACACTGTACTGTACTGTATTGTAATGTCCTGCAATACACTGTACTGTACTGGAATACACTGTACTGTATTGTACTGTCCTGCAATACACTGTGCTGTACTGTAATACACTGTACTGTACTGCACTGTACTGTACTGCATTACACTGTACTGCCCTGTACTGCATTACACTGTAGTGTACTGCACTGCACTGTACCGTATTGCACTGTACTTGAAAAAATATTTCGTTAGTTCCATGTCGACAGTTCGGGACCAACCCTCCCTCCCTCCCTCCACCTGACAGATTATAGTGATGAAAAGTCCGTTATACTGAGGTCTCAAAATGGTGGTGGTAGTTGTCTGTAAGAGCCTTCACAACGACGGTCCAGTGGTGAAGGCTGGGTGTAAGGTGAGCCTCAGTAGACCAACCAGGCCGGGAGGTGCTGCTGGGAACCAGAGGTGGTGTGACGGGCACGACCAGCTGGGGGAGGCTCGGGGGCACGACCAGCTGGGGAGGCTCGGGGGCACGACCAGCTGGGGGAGGCTCGGGGCACGACCAGCTGGGGAGGCCTGGGGGCACGACCAGCTGGGGGAGGCTCGGGGCACGACCAGCTGGGGAGGCTCAGCAGGGAGGCTGGGGCACGACCAGCTGGGGAGGCCGGGGCACGACCAGCTGGGAGGCTGGCACGACCAGCTGGGGAGGCTCAGGACCAGCTGGGGAGGCTCAGGCGACCAGCTGGGGGAGGCTCGGGGGCACGACCAGCTGGGGAGGCTCGGGGGCACGACCAGCTGGGGGAGGCTCGGGGCACGACCAGCTGCAGAGGAGGCTCGGGGCACGACCAGCTGGGGAGGCTCAGGAGCGACCAGCTGGGGAGGCTCGGGGGCTGACCAGCTGGGAGGCTCGGGGGCACGACCAGCTGGGGGAGGCTCGGGGGCACAACCAGCTGGGAGGCTCAGGGGCACGACCAGCTGGGGGAGCTCAGGAGCGACCAGCTGGGGAGGCTCAGGGGGCTGACCAATGGGGAGGCTCAGGGGGCACGACCAGCTGGGGGGAGGCTCAGGGGCACGGCTGGGGGGAGGCTCGGGGGCACGGCCAGCTGGGGGAGGCTCGGGGGCAGCCAGCTGGGGGGAGGCTCCGGGGGTCTGGCCCAGCTGGGAGGCTCGGGGTCACAGCCAGCTGGGGGAGGCTCAGGAGCGACCAGCTGGGGGAGGCTCGGGGCACGACCAGCTGGGGGGGCTCAGGGGGCGACCAGCTGGGGGAGGCTCAGGAGGCACGACCAGCTGGGGGAGGCTCGGGGGCACGACCGGCTGGGGAGGCTCGGGGGCACGACCAGCTGGGGGAGGCTCGGGGTACACTTCCTCCCTCCCAGACCTCTTCACTCTTTGTTTACCTTAGTAAGGTTGGAGGAGGAGACGGCGTGTGTCGGTGGTGGTGTACTAGGAGGCGTGACGCAATGGTTTGTTTCAAGGTCAGGTAGGAAGCTCGCGCCTCCCACTCTGCCACACCTACATCCACGCACTACATCTACGCCGTCACACCTTAGTATGCCCTTAGCAAAGTTGTTTAACATGTCCTTAAAAACAGGTGTAGTACCAGAGTCCTGGAGGATAGCGAATGTAATACCGATTTTCAAGAAGGGGGATAGATCACTATCCTCTAACTACCGCCCAATCAGTCTAACATCAATAGTAGGCAAATTACTGGAAGCAATCATTTCAAACTCTATACGAAATCACCTGGAGAAGCACCGATTGATCAATGATTCCCAGCATGGCTTCACAAGCGGACGTTCTTGTCTAACTAATCTATTAACATTCTTTTCATCAGTTTTCGAATCGGTGGACGAGGGGCACAATTATGATGTGGTATATCTCGACTTTAGCAAAGCCTTCGACAGAGTCCCCCACGAAAGACTAATTAGAAAGGTAGAAGCACATGGCATCAAAGGTAATATCCATAAATGGATTAGGGCGTGGTTACAGGACAGGAAACAGCGAGTCAACATTAACGGCAACAAATCCCATTGGAGCAACGTCACAAGTGGAGTTCCCCAAGGCTCAGTACTTGGACCATTATTATTTATTATATACATAAACAACCTAGATATCGGCATAGACAGCAACATAAGCAAATTTGCTGATGACACTAAAATAGGACGTGTTATTAAATCTGACGAGGACTCAGCAAAACTACAGGAAGATCTAAACAAATTTTTCGAATGGTCTAAAAAATGGCAGATGAAATTCAACGTGGACAAATGTAAAGTACTCAGTATAGGAGATGTAAACAGGGAAACTAGATACCAGATGAACAACGATGCCATAGAGAAATCCGACTGCGAGAGAGATTTAGGAGTAATGATAAGTAGGAACCTTAAGCAAAGTAAACAATGTGTTTTTGCTCGTAACAAGGCTAATAAAGTACTTGGGTTCATACAAAGGAGTGTTAGTTACAAGACTAGCGAGGTCATCCTAAAACTGGACACACACACACACACACACACACACACACACACACACAGTATTCCTCACAAGTTGCCTTTGTCAATGTTTACTGTTAATTCTCCAGATTTTACTCTCTCTCTCTCTCTCTCTCTCTCTCTCTCACTCTTACACACAGCCTAGCATCACCACCTCATACTAATTATAGTGAAACATATAATCATTCTTTATTATTTTATGATAAATATTAAAATAAAGTGTTTGGAGAATTGACAAAAAAAATCAAATTATAATGTACGTGTTTAGAGCTGCATAACAGTTGGCTGAGTCATGTGGTGAGGGTAGAGGGGGTGGTGAGGGTAGAGGGGGTGGTGAGGGTAGAGGGGGTGGTGAGGGTAGAGGGGAGGGTAGGGGGAAGTGGTGGTGAGGGTAGGGGTGGTGTAGAGGGGGTGGTGAGGGCAGAGGGTGGTGAGGGCAGAGGGGGTGGTGAGGGCAGAGGGGGTGGTGAGGTTACAGGTAGACTCCCACCAGATAACAACAACAACCATACATGGTTCCCAAAAAGTTACCAAATCTCTAAAGGTCCGTTACCACCCCTGATCTACACGGCCAGGCAATAAACAACCTCCCTAGACCAGCATCCGCCAGTAGGGTCGGCAGAATATGAAATAAGGTCCTTAAAACACCCATATGTGGGACAGGGTAGAATGTCTAGTGCCTGTACCAACAGACAATAACTAACCCATGACACAACCCTAACACACTATTAGCTTAGCTAGGCGGTCAGCCCGCCCTCTCTTACCTCCTCCTAAACTTCCTTCCCCCACCTGTAATCTTCCTTCACCCCTCCTTTATCTACAAAAAAGAGGGGGAGGTGGTGGTGAGGGAGAGGGAGTGGTGAAGGAGGGAGTGGTGAGGGAGAGAGTGGTGACGGAGAGAGTGGTGAGGGAAGGGGTGGTGAGGGTAGAGGGGGTGGTGAGGGTAGAGGGGGTGGTGAGAGAGAGGGAGTGGTGAAGGAGGGAGTGGTGACGGAGAGAGTGGTGACGGAGAGAGTGGTGACGGAGAGAGTGGTGACGGAGGGAGTGGTGGTGGTGTGGAAGGCTGAGGAAATGCCAGTGGAGGGAGGAGGAGGAGAGATGAGAATAACGAGAGAGGAAGGATGCAGACTGATAACTGTGCAGACTACCCCCCCTCCCCCAGATGTTTAACTCTCTCTGCTGTGTGTGTGTGTGTGTGTGTTTCTCCTGGCCACCAAGGTCGTGTTTAACTAGCTTTTGTCGGCGTGTTTACCCCGGGCAATGTGAGTGGTGGAACCGGGGAGTGACGCAGCTCTTTTTCCAGTGCGAGTTCACATGTTGAAAAGTTCGAAGGTCAAACTTACACTACTCCTTCCTAACACGCGCACACATACACACACACACACACACACACAGAGAGGTTACTTAACTACACAGGGGAAATTATCAAGCTTGTTACCGGGCCATCATCACTACCTCAACTAATAACAGGTACCCATTGACAGCTGGGGGTGGACTAAGGGTGTGAGCCACGATTTTATCCAATTTAAAACTTCCCCCTCGATACCATGAGCCTAAACTTTTCTCAGAAGCCTATGATGCGGTACTCTGTCAAATGCTTTGCTAGAGTCTAAGTAAATAATATCGTAATTTTCGTCATTATCTACTACCTCGAAGACTTTCCTAAAAAACGTCAGCAGATTTGTGAGACAAGATTTTCCCTTTGTAAACCCATGTTGAGAGTCGTAGATTAATTTGCTTTTCTCTAAATGCGATCGGATGCTATCTGCTATAATTGATTCAAGAAATTTCCCCACTACTGACGTCAGACTGATCGGCCGGTAATTTGACGCTGATGCTCTGTCTCCCTTTTTGAATATGGGTACTACATTTGCCTGTTCCACAAGTCTGGCACAACTCCCGTGTCTAATGATTTTGTAAATAAATTTACGAGGGGTCCGCTAATCTGTTCCCTACACTCTTTCAAGACTCGAGGGCAAATTTCATCCGGCCCTGGGGATTTTGTCTTCTTTAGTTTATTAATACTCTTAAGAACATCCTCTTTTCTGATAGTGATATTCTTTAATTGATCTTCTTCCTTTCCCCTAAATATCAGTTCCACCTCTGGAATTTCCTCGCGAATTTCTTCTGTGAAAACTGATAAGAAGTAGCTGTTCAATGCTTTGTTTATTTCTTCACTGCCATTGATCACTTCCCCCCTCCCTGCTACTGGTGGTGGTTGTTGTTGTTGTATAGCGTCACCCCCTTACCCCTAACACAACATTCCTCCTCTACCTAATTTTATCCAAGTTGACTGTCTCTCTCTCTCTCTCTCTCTCACAGCGTCATCAACCAGGGCACTGTATCAATGGGGCGAGGAGGGAGAGGTGGAGCTATATATGATGGCGGTGCTGGGATAGCATGGGGCTCACTAATGGGGAGGGAATAGGGAGGGAAGAGGGGGGAGGGGAGGGAATAGGGAGGGAAGAGGGGGGAGGGAACGGAAGAGGAGGGGTGAGGAGAGGAGGAATGAGAGAGGGAACGGGAAGGGAAGACAGAATAAAGACAGTTAGAGGTTGGTGGTGCGGGGAGGTGCACGTGACGAGGCTGATGATGAGGGGGAGGGAGGGAGGCTGGTAGTGGAGGGGACAAGAAATGAGGAGAAAAGGGGGCGTGAAGGAGGTAGGGATGAGGGAGAGAGGGGGAAGGATGGTGAGTCATGACAGAATACAAAAAAAATCTGGTGGGGTGGATACCTCGGAGTGAGCGGAACTAGAGAGATACACACACACACACACACACACGAGGCGACGTATGCAGATGCCGCCTGATGTTCCTCCCTGACCCCCGGACCTCCTCACCACAACTTCTCACCTGCCCTCAAAATACTGCCTCACCTGTACATATAAACATATAATAGTGTGTGTGTGTGTGTGTGTGTGTGAAGGAGGAGCTAAGTCACCGCCTGGTTCACTACACAGTCTTATAATTCAACAAGTGAGTCAAGATACTGAACACGCTGAGACCACACACCCACCTTGGATCACTCCCCCCTCTCTTTCCCCCCTTCGGATCACCCCCTCCCTCCTTTGTGTCACCTAACCTGGGGGGTGGAGTTGGGTTAGGTCAGAAGAGGTTAGGTTAGCACTAGGATGTTTAATCTTAAGGTGAACCAAGCTGGGGACTAATCTTCAGGTGATTCGACGTCTTATCGTCATCACCAACAAGGGTCAAACATCACCCTCGGTAGCCTGGGTCACGTCTCGTCATCACGGGGGCGAGATTAGGCCGTCAGGGGGAAACCTTTAATACACGCCACTGTATATTGATCACTACCGACCACCCTGTTACACTAGGCTCTGTCTGTATGGGGGGGGGGATTCTGGGAGGAAGAGCAGGGACAGGAGGGAAAGGGAAAACTGAGAAAGATAAAAAAAGGAAGGAAGGGAGGAGGAAGAGGAGTAGAAGGGGGAAGAGGACACACAGGCACAGGGTAATAAACTAATAACAATAGGACTCCTTCATCACCTCCGTGACAGGAAATCTTTACCTTGTGTACACCTGATATTTATGACTCGGGGGTAGCCCCGGCCACCACTCTCACCTGTGTCGGTACTGTACACCGGTTACCTGCACGCACACACACACACACACAGGGGCTTAAGAAGGTACACTTCGTAATCTACACAGGTACTGGCCTCCACAGGTGTACAACATGGTGTTGTGGGCACGTCCTGAGGTACACAGGTAGTGACCCACACGTCGACGTATTACTTATTCAAGGTGGTGTACCATCTACTGCAGCTGTGGTCATTAGGACCCTACTACCACATCCCCACAGCACACATCCCTCTGCAGATAGCATCGCCTCCTCTCACCCCTCTGTAGACAATATCGCCTCCCCTCACCCCTCTGTAGACAATATCGCCTCCCCTCACCCCTCTGTAGACAATATCGCCTCCCCTCACCTCTCTGTGACCACTACACCTCTCCTCTCATGAAGCAACGCCCTTCACCCTTCTAAGACCAGTACACTCCCCCACACTA